GTTCATGCCCGCGCTTTTTCTGGTTGTTGGTAAATGGGGCAGGGGGTCTATTCTAGCGCTTTTGCTTGGGTACTGGAAATGATCGGCCTATTCAAGTGCTTTTGCTTTGGGCGCTGAAAAATTCTCATTCTAGCAGCAGCTAGAAAAAACACAGGTGTTGACCTCATATTGTTGCGCTTTTTGCAAGCGCCGGTAGAAAAAGCGCTGGTATTGAACAAATTTCTTGTAACTATGCTTTCTTCTTTTTTTGAAGGGAGCCGATAATGCCATGAAGCGTTTTTTTACTGCCACGACCATTAAATGCTCTTCTTGACAAATGGACTTCCTTGTCCTTTGCTCTCAAAAGTAGTAAGAGCCTTAATTTAACGTTCCCAAATTGCCCTTTCCTATATCTAAAAATGTCTGCCATTCTTCTAGCCGTATAAAACGTCAAAAGTGAAGACCCCAAAGTCTTTTGACAGCTAAGCAAATCCAACCCTACATAAAAACTCGGTCTTTTCCATGTTTCAATTTTTTTTCTTTTATTTACCATGCCATCCCAAGTTTAGTACAGAATATGAAGAGTGCTACTAGTACAGCAAGAGTTGTACATACAGTGTATATAGTAGGCTTTTGGACCTGTCTCGGGTCTAATAAAGATATTCGGAGCCGCTCATTTTGTTTAAAATATTTTTTTTTCAGGTTCTTGTAAAAAACAAGCTCCATTCGATATCGTGAAGGGCATTTATGATATGTCTATATTTGATAAATTGCTAGCCTAAATTTTGAAACGAAATTGTTCGTTTCGTAAACGCCTTAATGATATCGGATGGAGCTAATTTTTTACGAAAATCCTAAAAATAATAATTTGAACAAAATGAGCGGCTCCGATTATCTTTGTTGAACCCGAGATGGGTCCAAAAGCACATTGTATGCGCTGTCTGTACAGCTCTTGCTGTACCAGTAGCATTTCTAGAATATGAATAGGCCACTAATGAAAGAAATAAATACGCCACTACCAAAAAAAAAAAGAAAAAAAGAGTACTCCAGTAGAAAGTATGAATGGTAAGGGCTCCTGTCAACTTTGTACTTCAAAAACCCTAGTCATGGAGTTGTCAAATCGAAGAGAAAGAGACAAAAGTTAGAGGGGAATGGTAAAAGTCTATTGAAAGGAAATACATAACAACAATTTAGAAAAGAAAATCAATAAAAGGGCAATTTGAAAATGTAAATTAAGGCTCTGACTACTTTTGAGAGCAAAGGAGCATTTAATGGTTGTGGCAGTAAAGAAAAGATTCGTGGCATTATCAGCTCCCTTTTTGAAAATTAAATTTGTGGGTTTTTTTTTTGGATTGGTTAATGTAGCCGTATAATTCAACACAGAAAGAGCCATGGGAAGGTACAGGTACATAGGGCTGATCTGCTCTGCTTCTTCTTACTGATCATTACTTTGGAGGTTATTTCTCTTGTTAAATGCTCCCTCATTCCTATAATTTTTAGTCTTTCATGAAGATACGTATTATTCTTTTAATAAAAATAAAAACACTTTCTGTATATAATTTTTTCATCAATATCAAATTTTTAATTACACACACACACACACACACACACACACACACACATATATACACACACAGTGAGGTTCCTGTGAAGACCTTAAATAGGCTCCTTAAGTGCAGACATCCCCAATTCTCCCATTTCCTGATTGAATTTCGATGATCCGATCCGCTTAATGTGATCAGAATGTGATTTTAAGGGTACCCGAGAGAAATCAGCAAAACAAATGACCAGGAAGGGCTTGATTTGAGTAGTTTTTTTGAACCGTTCAATAAAAAACTGTTCGGATGAAGCCCTTCTTGGCCATTTTTTTTGACGATTTCTTGCGGAGGCCCTTAAAATCATGTTCTGATCACATTGAGCGGCTCGGATTATCAAAATTCGATTGGAATCTATGAGGTCCGCACTTAAGCTAAGTAGAGCATCCCTCATAAGAAGGGGATATATATATACACATATATATACATATATATATACACATATATATATATACATATATAGTTCAACCTTTTGTAAACACCTTGATGGAGATTTGTAACTAGCTGAGCTATAGCATGTGACTTACCTGCTCATAGGTTAGACCTAGTTGTGTAGAAATTCGTACACCATATTGATGATACTTGATAGAGGCATTATGTTGTTTGTTGCCTAACTTAGTACTGTCCGTTACTAGTAGGGCTGTAAATCAACATTCGCGAGCTGTTCGAGGTTCGGTTCAATAAGAGCTCATTCGAGTTCGATTCGTCTACTAAACGAATTGAACTTGAACCTCAATTCTAGGCTCGTTTAGTAAATGAGCCGAACCTGAGCCTAATGGTATTCGGCTCGATTAGATTCGCGAACCTATACTTAAATTTAATTAATAATTCAATAGAGATCTATTTGTAAATATAAAAATTTTTAAGGTTGCATATATAATTCAATACTTATTTTTCTCCCAAATTCTATACGATCAATGAGAGAGTTTGGGTTCGCTTGAGTTTAATGAGCTGAGCCGAATCAAACCTGAGTCTTGACGAGCTCAATTCGAGCTTAGATTCAGCTTGGCTCGATTCATTTGTGTTTAACAAGTCAAACTCGAGTCAAGGTGTTCAAATTCGAATCGGATTCGAGCCGAATTCGAGCCAAATTAGTACCTTAACGAACCCAACCGAGCTGAACCCAAGCCAAACTCGAGCCAGAATAGTACCTTAACGAACCCAACCGAGCTGAACCCGAGCCTTGAAAAATTTTAACGAGCTGAACTCGAGCCAAGTTGTTTAGGCTCGAATCGAACTCGAGCCGAACTCATACCTTAACGAACCCGAGCCGAACTTATCAGGGTTCGGCTCGATTCGGTTCGTTTACAGCCCTAGTTACTAGTTTAGTTTAGCACACTAGCTCTCATCACAAGACAAACATTGTATCGAATAGGAAGCGATTAAGAAAAAAAACGCTGTTAACCACACAGATAAATAGTGCACAGATTGAGTTGTGGGGCCCTCCATGGGTCTCACACAAACGATTCAAGCCGCTCATAAAATATAAAATATTTTTTCAAGGGTCTCTGCAAAAAATTAGCTCAATCTGATACTTAGAAGTGCTTGATCCAATCATCTAACTTTTCATTCAGATTTTCGGATCATGAAAAATTAGATGATTGGATCAAGCATCCATAAGCATCGGATTTGGCTAATTTTTTGCGGAGACCTTTGAAAAACTATTTTACATTTAATGAGCAGTTTGAATCGTTTATGTGGAACCCGTAGTGGACTCACATAAAATTTGTGCACTATTTATCTTTGTAGACAGACTTAATGTAAGAAAAAAGTATCGAATGCAACACTTGAGAATACCATCACATGCTATTGTTGGAAAGTTACACCAAATGAGAAAGTATTTTTAAATTGTACTATCAAACACATGAACATGGAACTGAAGAGACCAAAAAAAAAGTATTACAAACAGAGTTCGAGAAATTAGTTTGTGACATTGATGTGGGAAGTCATTGTCATAAGATCATATCCGCCTTTCTTTGAGTAAAATGTGACTGTTGAATATCTCTTCGAGATAAAATCCATGAATCTCACTTAAATTCTCCATGTCACACAAATAGTAAAAGACGGGCAAGTCTTTCTCACATTATATCCAAACTATACATGGAAGTAAAATGAAGTAGGAGAATCTATATAATATGACAGGGAGGTTTTTGAATTTCTAAAATTCCTTCTATATTTTGGACTCTACGATCGGTACACATTTTTTCTACAGCTGAGATCTACGGGTAGAAGGTCTAACGATATATTTAGAAAGGATAGTACAAATATTTATGGTCCTTTTTAATTACCCAAAATCACAGGAGGTTTGAAATAATATATTTGAAAAGTATGTTGACATTTATAGTGCAAATAAGATCAAACGTTTTTTTTTTTCCTTTTTAATTAGTAAGATCAATTAGTGCAATCATACCATCTTATACCATCGTTTGCTGCAATTTTTTGAGCTCGGAAACAAAATTTCCACTTAAGTGGGCATGGTCGGCCACAGCGAGCCCTGCATCAGGATACGGGATTCGGTCGGCCAGACGTGACTAAGAAAGCCCGTGGCTGAAAGAGCCGTGCCCAATGGGCAAAAAAGTAGAACAAAAGAATTGAAGGAGGAGAACATTTCGGGTGCGATCATACCAGCACTAATACACTAGATTCCATTAGAACTCCGTAGTTAAGCGTGCTTGGGCGAGAGTAGTACTAGGACGGGTGACCCCCTGGGAAGTCCTCATGTTGCACCCCTTTTTGGTTTTTGTACGAAATCTTTTTCTCCACTCCCTTTCTTCTTCTCTTTGCTCGCCGCCAATTCTACTCGTCCCGTCGAGAGGTTTTCAGAGAGCTGTTTGCTGCGATTTTTCAAGCTTGGAGAACAAATTCCCTCTTAAGCGGGCACGGTCGGCCCCAGCGAGCCATACATCGGGATACGGAGTCTGGTCGGCGAGACGTGACTAAGAAATTCCATGGCTGAAAGAGCCGTGTCCAATGGGCAGAAAAACAGAACAAAAGAATTGAAAGAGGAGAACATTTCGGGTGCGATCATACCAGCACTAATGTATCGGATCCCATCAGAACTCCGCAGTTAAGCATGCATGGGTGAGAGTAGTACTAGGATGGGTGACCCCCTAGGAAGCCCTGGTGTTGCACCCCTTTTACGTTTTTGTACGAAATATTTTTCCCCCTTACCTTCCTTCTACTCTTTGCTCGCCACCAATTCTGCTCGTCTCATCCAGAGGTTTTCCGGAGAGCTGTTTGCTGCGATTTTTCGAGCTCCAACACAAAATTCCCTCTTAAGCGGGCACGGTCGGCCACAGCGAGCCCTGCATCGGGATACGGGGTTCGGTCCGCGAGACGTGACTAAGAAAGGACGTGACTGAAAGAGCCGTGCCCAACAGGCAAAAAAGAAAAACAAAAGAATTGAAGGAAGAGAATATTTCGGATGTGATCATACTAGCACTAATGCATCGGATCCCATCAGAACTCCACAGTTAACCATACTTGGGCGAGAGTACTAGCGAGAGTAGTACTACGATGGGTGACCCCCTGGGAAGTCCTCGTGTTGCACCCCTTTTTGGTTTTTGTACGAAATCTTTATCCCCACTTCCTTTCTTATTCTCTTTGCTCGCCGCCAATTTTGCTCGTCTCCTCGAGAGGTTTCCGGAGAGATGTTTGCTGCGATTTTTCGAGTTAGGAGACAAAATTCCCTCTTAAGCGGGCACAATCGCCCCAGCAAGCCATGCATCGAGATATGGGGTCCGGTCGGCGAGACGTGACTAAGAAAGCCCGTGGCTGAAAGAACCGTGCCCAACGGGCGGAAAAGTAGAACAAAAGAATTGAAGGGGTAGAACATTACGAGTGTGATCATACCAGCACTAATGCACCAGATCCCACATGAACTCCGCAGTAAAGCGTGCTTGGGCGAGAATAGTACTAGAGTGGGTGACCCCTTGGGAAGTCCACATGTTGCACAGCTTTTTGGTTTTTGTACGAAATCTTTTTCCCCCTCCTTTCCATCTTCTCTTTGCTCACCACCAATTTTGCTTTTCTCGTCGTGAGATTTCTGGAGAGCTGTTTGCGGTGATTTTTTCAGCTCCAAGAAAAAATTCCCTCTTAAACTGGCACGGTCGGCCACAGCGAGTCCTGCATCGGGATACGGGGTCCAGTCAGCGAGACGTGACTAAGAAAGCCCGTGGCTAAAAGAGCCGGGTCCAACGGGCGGAAAAATAGAACAAAAGAATTGAAGGAGGAGAACATTTCGGGTGCGATCATACCAGCACTAATGCACCGGATCCCATCAGAACTCCGCAGTTAAGCGTGCTTGGGCGAGAGTCGTACTAGGATGGGTGACCCCCTGGGAAGTCCTTGTGTTGCACCCCCTTTTTGGTTTTTTTTACGAAATCACTTTCCCAACTCCCTTCCTTCTTCTCTTTGCTCGCCGCCAATTCTGCTGGTTTCGTCGAGAGGTTTCCGGAGAGTTGTTCGCAGCGATTTTTCAAGCTCGGACACAAAATTCCCTCTTAAGCTGGCACGATCGGCCACAGCAAGCCCTGCATCGGGATACGGGGTCCGGTCGGCGAGACGTGACTAAGAAAGCCCGTGGCGGGAAGAGTCGTGCCTAACGGGCAGAAAAGTAGAACAAAAGAATTGAAGGAGGAGAACATTTCGGGTGCGATCATACCAGCACTAATGCATCGGATCCCATCAGAACTCCGTAGTTAAGCGTGCTTGGGCGAGAGTAGTACTAGGATGGGTGACCCCTTGGGAAAGTCCTCGTGTTGCACCCATTTTTAGTTTTTTACGAAATGTTTTTCCCAACTCCCTTCTTTCTTCTATTTTTTTAACGCCAATTCTGCTCGTCTCGTTGAAAGGTTTCCGGAGAGATGTTAGCTGCGATTTATAAAGCTCAGACACTAAATTCCCTCTTAAGTGGGAACGATCGGCCACAGCGAGCCCCGCATCGGGATACCGGGTCCAGTCGGCGAGACGTGACTAAGAAAGCACGTGGCTGAAAGAGCCGTGCCCAACGGGACGAAAAGTAGAACAAAAGAATTGAAGGAGGAGAAAATTTCGAGTGAGATCATGCCAGCACTAATGCATCGGATCTCAGCAGAACTCCGCTGTTAAGCGTGCTTGGGCGAGAGTAGTACTAGGATGGGTGACCCCTTGGGAAGTCCTCGTGTTGCACCCATTTATGGCTTTTTTTACGAAATCTCTTTCCCAACTCCATTTCTTCTTCTCTTTGCTCGCCGCCAATTCTGCTCGTCTCGTAGAGAGGTTTCCGGAGAGATGTTTGCTGCAATTTTTCTGTCTCGGAGACCAAATTCCCTCTTAAGCGGGCACGGTTGGCCACAACGAGCCCTACATCGGGATACGTGGTCCAGTGGGAAAGATGTAACTAATAAAACCCGTGGCTGAAAGAGCTGTGCCCAACGGGCAGAAAAGTAGAACAAAAGAATTGAAGGAGGAGAACATTTTGGGTGCGATTATACCAGTACCAATGCCCGGATCCCATCAGAATTCCGCAGTTAAGCGTGCTTGGGCGAGAGTAGTACTAGTATGGGTGACCCCTGGGAAGTCCTCGTGTTGCACCCATTCTTTGTTTTTTTTACGAAATCCCTTTCCCAACTCCCTTCCTTCTTCTCTTTACTCGCCGCCAATCCTGCTAGTCTCATCGAGAGGTTTTCGGAGAGATGTTTGCTGCCATTTTTCAAGTTCGGAGACAAAATTCCCTTTTAAGCGGGCACGGTCGGCCACAGCAATCCCTGCATCGGGATACGGGGTCCGGTCGGCGAGACGTGACTAAGAAAGCCCGTGGCTAAAAGAGCAGTGCCCATCGGGCAGAAAAGTAGAACAAAAGAATTGAAAGAGGAGAACATTCCGGGTGCGATCATACCAGCACTAATGCACCGGATCCCATCAGAACTCCGCAGTTAAGCGTGCTTGGGCGAGAGTCGTACTAGGACGGGTGACCCCCTGGAAAGTCCTCGTGTTGCACCCCTCTTTTGTTTTTTTTTCGAAATCTCTTTCCCAACTCCCTTCCTTCTTCTCTTTGCTCGCCGCCAATCTTGTTCGTCTCGTCGAGAGGTTTCCGGAGAAATGTTTGTTGCGATTTTTCGAGTTCGGAGACAAAATTCCCTCTTAAGCAGGCAGGGTCGGGCACAGCAATCCCTGCATCGGGATACAGGGTCCGGTCCGCGAGACGTGACTAAGAAAGCCCGTGGCTAAAAGAGCAGTGCCCAACGGGCAGAAAAGTAGAACAAAAGAATTAGAGGAGGAGAACATTTCGGGCGCGATCATACCAGCACTAATGCACCGCATCCCATCAAAACTCCGCAGTTAAGCGTGCTTGGGCGAGAGTAGTACTAGGATGGTTGACCCCCGGGGAAGTCCTGGTGCTGCACCCATTTTTTGCCTTTTTTACGAAATTTCTTTTCCAACTCCCTTTCTTCTTCTTTTTGCTCGCCGCAAATTCTGCTCGTCTCGTAGAGAGGTTTTCCGGAGAGATGTTTGCTGCAATTTTTCTATCTCGGAGACCAAATTCCCTCTTATGCCGGAAAGGTCGGCGACAGCGAGCCCTACATCGGGATACGTGGTCTGGTGGGCGAGACGTAACTAATAAAGCCCGTGGCTGAAAGAGCTGTGCCCAACAGGCAGAAAAGTAGAACAAAAGAATTGAAGGAGGAGAACATTTCGGGTGCTATCAAACCAGAACTAATGCCCGGATCCCATCAGAATTCCGCAGTTAAGCGTACTTGGGCGAGAGTATTACTAGGATGGGTGACCCCCTGGGAAGTCCTTGTGTTGAACCAATTTTTTTTTTACGAAATCTCTTTCCCAACTCCCTTCCTTCTTCTCTTTGCTCGCCGTCAATCCTGCTAGTCTCGTCGAGAGGTTTCCGGACAGATGTTTGCTGCGATTTTTCGAGCACAGAGAAAAAATTCCCTCTTAAGCGGGCACGGTCGGCCACAGCATGCCCTGCATCGGGATACGGGATCCGGTCGGCGAGACGTGACTAAGAAAGCCCGTGGCTGAAAGTGACGTCCCCATCGGGCAGAAAAGTAGAACAAAAGAATTGAAGGAGGAGAATATTTCGGGTGCGATAATACTAGCACTAATGCACCGGATCCCATCAGAACTCCGCAGTTAGGCGTGCTTGGGCGAGAGTATTACTAGGATGGGTGACCCTCTGGGAAGCCCTCGTGTTGCAACGCTATTTTTTTTTTTTTTACGAAATCTCTTTCCCAACACCCTTCCTTCTTCTCTTTGCACGCCGCCAATCCTGCTCGTCTCGTCGAGAGGTTTCCGGAGAGATGTTTGCTGCGATTTTTCGAGCTCTGAAACAAAATTCCCTCTTAAGCGGTTACGGTCGGCCACAGCAAGTCCTACATCAGGATATGGGGTCCGGTCGGCGAGACGTGACTAAGAAAACCTGTGGCAGAATAGTAGATGTTCTACTATTCTGCCGTCCCCATCGGGCAAAATAGTAGAACAAAAGAATTGAAGGAGGAGAAAATTTCGAGTGCGATTATACCAGCACTAATGCACCGGATCCCCATCAGAACTCTGCAGTTAAGCGTGCTTGGGCGAGAGTAGTACTAGGATGGGTGACCCCCTGGGAAGTCCTCGTGTTGCAACCCTTTTTGGTTTTTTTTTGAGAAATCTCTTTCTCAACTTCCTTCCTTCTTCTCTTTCCTCGCCGCCAATCCTGCTCGTCTGGTAGAGAGATTTCTGGAGAGATGTTTGCTGCGATTTTTCGAACTTTGAGACAAAATTCCCTCTTAAGTGGGCACGGTCGGCCATAGCAAGCCCTGCATCGCGATATGGGGTCCAATCGGCGAGATGTGAGAAAGAAAGCCCGTGGCTGAAAGTGCCATCCCCATCAGGCAGAAAAGTAGAACAAAAGAATTGAAGGAGGAGAACATTTCGGGTGTGATCATACCTGCGCAAATGCACCGGATCCCATCAGAACTTCGCAGTTAAACGTGCTTGGACGAGAGTAGTACTAGGATGGGTGACCCCCTGGGACGTCCTCGTGTTCCACCATTTTTGGTTTTTCTTTACGAAATCTCTTTCTCAACTCCCTTCCTTCATCTCTTTACTCGCCGCCAATCCTGCTCGTCTCGTCGAGAGGTTTCCGGAGAGATGTTTGCTGCGATTTTTCGAGCTCTGAGACAAAATTCCCTCTTAAGCGGGCAAGGTCGTCCACAGCAAGCCCTGCATCGAGATACGGGGTCCGGTCGGCGAGACGTGACTAAGAAAGTCTGTGGCTGAAAGTGCCGTCCTCATCGGGTAGAAAAGTGGAACAAAAGAATTGAAGGAGGAGAACATTTCGGGTGTGATCATACAAGAACTAATGCACCGGAACTCATCAGAACTCCGCAGTTAAGCGTGCTTGGGCGAGAATAGTACCAGGATGGGGGACCCTCTGGGAAGTCCTCGTGTTGCACCCCTTTTCGGGTTTTTTTTTTACGAAATCTCTTTCTCATCTCCCTTCCTTCATCTCTTTTCTCGCCGCCAATCCTGCTCGTCTCGTCGAGATGTTTCCGGAGAGATATTTGCTGCGATTTTTCGAGTTCTGAGACAAAATTCACTCTTAAGCGGGTACGGTCGGCCACAGCAGGCCCTGCATCGGGATACGGGGTCCGGTCGGCGAGACGTGACTAAGAAAGTCCGTAGCTGAAAGTGCCGTCCCCATCAGGCAGAAAAGTCGAACAAAACAATTGAAGGAGGAGAACATTTCGGGTGCGATCATACAAGCACTAATGCACCGGATCCCATCAGAACTCCGCAGTTAAGCGTGCTTGGGCGAGTGTAGTACTAGGATGGGCGACCCCCTGGGAAGTCCTCGTGTTGCACCCCTTTTTGGTATTTTTTTTTTTTACGAAATCTCTTTCCCAACTCCCTTCCTTCTTCTCTTTTCTCGCCACCAATCCTGCTCGTCCGGTACAGAGGTTTCCGGGGAGATGTTTGCTGCGATTTTTCGAGTTCTCAGACAAAATTCCCTCTTAAGCGGGCACGGTCGGCCACAGCAAGCCCTGCATCGGGATACGGGGTCCGACCGGCGAGACGTAACTAAGAAAGTCCGTGGCTGAAAGTGCCGTCCCCATCGGGCAGAAAAGTCGAACAAAACAATTGAAGGAGGAGAGCATTTTGGGTGCGATCATACCAGCACTAATGCGCCGGATCCCATCAGAACTTCGTAGTTAAACGTGCTTGGGCGAGAGTAGTACTAGGATGGGTGACCCCCTGGGAAGTCCTCGTGTTGCACCCCTTATTTGTTTTTTTTTTTTACGAAATCTCTTTCCCAACTCCCTTCCTTCTTCTCTTTGCTCGCCACCAATCCTGCTCGTCTGGTACAGAGGTTTCCGGGGAGATGTTTGCTGCGATTTTTCGAGCTCTGAGACAAAATTCCGTCTTAGGCGGGCACGGTCGGCCACAGCAAACCCTGCATCGGGATACGGGGTCCGGTCGGCGAGACGTGACTAAGAAAACCCGTGGCTGAAAGTGCCGTCCCCATCGGGCAGAAAAGTAGAACAAAAGATTTGAAGGAGGAGAACATTTCGGGTGCGATCATACCAGCACTAATGCACCGGAACCCATCAGAACTCCGCAGTTAAGCGTGCTAGGGCGAGAGTAGTACTAGGATGGTTGACCTCCTGGGAAGTCCTCGTGTTGCACCCCTTTTTGGTTTTTTTTTTTACGAAATCTCTTTCTCATCTCCCTTCCTTCTTCTCTTTTCTCGCCGCCAATCCTGCTCGTCTCGTCGAGAGGTTTCCGGAGAGATGTTTGCTGCGATTTTTCGAGCTCTGAGACAAAATTCCCTCTTAAGCGGGCACGGTCGGCCACAGCAAGCCCTGCATCGGGATAACGGGTCTGGTCGGCGAGACGTGACTAAGAAAGCCCGTTGCTGAAAGTGCTGTCCCCATCGGGCAGAAAAGTAGAACAAAAGAATTGAAGGAGGAGAACATTATGGGTGCGATAGTACCAGCACTAATGCACCGGATCCCATTAGAACTCCGCAGTTAAGCGTGCTTGGGCGAGAGTAGTACTTGGATGTGTGACCCCCTGGGAAGTCCTCATGTTGCACCCCTTTTTGGTTCTTTTTTTTTTCGAAATCTCTTTCTCATCTCCCTTCCTTCTTCTCTTTTCTCACCGCCAATCCTTCTCGTCTCGTCGAGAGATTTCCGGACAGATGTTTGCTGCGATTTTTCGAGATCTGAGAAAAAATTCCCTCTTAAGCGGTTACGGTCGGCCACAACAAGTCCTGCATCAGGATGCGGGGTCCGGTCGGCGAGGCGTGACTAAGAAAGCCCGTGGCTGAAAGTGCCGTCCCCATCGGGCAGAAAAGTAGAACAAAAGAATTGAAGGAGGAGAACATTTCGGGTCTGATCATACCAGCACTAATGCCCCGGATCCCATCAGAACTCCGCAGTTAAGCGTGCTTGGGTAAGAGTAGTATTAGGATGGGTGACCCGCTAGGAAGTCCTCGTGTTGCACCCCTTTTTGGTTTTTTTTTTTTACGAAATCTCTTTCGAAACTGCCTTCCTTCTTCTCTTTGCTCGCCGCCAATCCTGCTTGTCTCGTCGAGAGGTTTCCGGAGAGATGTTTGCTGCGATTTTTCGAGTTCTGAGACAAAATTCCCTCTTAAGCGGGCACGGTCAGCCACAGCAAGTCCTGCATCGGGATACGGGGTCCGGTCGGCGAGACGTGACTAAAAAAGCCCGTGGCTGAAAGTGCCGTCCCCATCGGGCAGAAAAGTAGAACAAAAGAATTGAAGGAGGAGAACATTTCAGGTGCAATCATACCAGCACCAATGCACCGGATCCCATCAGAACTCCGCAGTTAAGCGTGCTTGGGCGAGAGTAGTACTAGGATGGGTGCCGCAGTGGGAAGTCCTCATGTTTCACCCCATTTTGGTTTTCTTTTTTTACGAAATCTCTTTCCCAACTCCCTTCCTTCTTCTCCTTGCTCGCCGCCAATCCTGCTCGTCTCGTCGAGAGGTTTCCGGAGAGATATTTGCTGCGATTTTTTAAGCTCTCTGAGACAAAATTCACTCTGAAGCGGGCACGGTCGGCCACAGCAAGCTCTGCATCGGGATACGGTGTCCGGTCGGCGAGACGTGAGTAAGAAAGCCCGTGACTGAAAGTGCCGTCTCCATCGGGCAGAAAAGTAGAAAACAAAAGAATTGAAGGAGGAGAACAGTTCAGGTGCGATCATACCAGCACTAATGCACCGGATCCCATCAGAACTCCGCAGTTAAGCGTGTTTGGGCGAGAGTAGTACTAGGATGGGCGACCCCCTGGGAAGTCCTCGTGTTGCACCCCTTTTTTGTTTTTTTTTTTACGAATTCTCTTTCTCATCTCCATTCCTTCTTCTCTTTTCTCGCTGCAATCCTGCTCGTCTTGTCGAGGGGTTTCCGGAGAGAAGTTTGCTGCGATTTTTCGAGCTCTGAGACAAAATTCCCTCTTAAGCGGGCACGGTCGGCCACCGCAAGCCGTGCATCGGGATACGGGGTCCGGTCGGCTAGACGTGACTAAGAAAGTCCGTGGCTGAAAGTGCCGTCCCCATCGGGCAGAAAAGTGGAACAAAACAATTGAAGGAGGAGAACATTTCGGGTGTGATCATACAAGTACCAATGCACCGGATCCCATCAGAACTCCGCAGTTAAGCGTGCTTGGGCGATAGTAGTACTAGGATAGGTGACCCAGTTGGAAGTCCTCGTGTTTCACCCCATTTTGGTTTTCTTTTTTTACGAAATCTCTTTCCCAACTCCCTTCCTTCTTCTCTTTGCTCGTCGCCAATCCTGCTCGTCTCGTCGAGAGGTTTCCGGTGAGATATTTGCTGCGATTTTTTAAGCTCTCTGAGACAAAATTCCCTCTGAAGCGGGCACGGTCGGCCACAGCAAGCTCTGCATCGGGATACGGGGTCCGGTCGGCGAGACGTGAGTAAGAAAGCCCGTGACTGAAAGTGCCGTCCCCATCGGGCAGAAAAGTAGAAAACAAAAGAATTGAAGGAGGAGAACAGTTCAGGTGCGATCATACCAGCACTAATGCACCGGATCCCATCAGAACTCCGCAGTTAAGCGTGTTTGGGCGAGAGTAGTACTAGGATGGGTGACCCCCTGGGAAGTACTCGTGTTGCACCCCTTTTTGGTTCTTTTTTTTTTCGAAATCTCTTTCTCATCTGATTTCCTTCTTCTCTTTACTCACCGCCAATCCTGCTCGTCTCGTCGAGAGGTTTCCGGAGAGATGTTTGTTGCGATTTTTCGAGCTCTGAGACAAAATTCCCTCTTAAGCGGGCACGGTCGGCCACAGCAAGCCCTGCATCGGGATACGGGGTCCGGTCGGCGAGACGTGACTAAGAAAGCCCGTGGCTGAAAGTGCCGTCCCCATCGGGCAGAAAAGTAGAACAAAAGAATTGAAGGAGGAGAACATTTCGGGTGCGATCATACCAGCACTAATGCACCGGATCCCATCAGAACTCCGCAGTTAAGCGTGCTTGGGCGAGAGTAGTACTAGGATGGGTGACCCCCTGGGAAGTCCTCGTGTTGCACCCCTTTTTGGTTTTTTTTTTCTACGAAATCTCTTTCCCAACTCCCTTCCTTCTTCTCTTTACTCGCCGCCAATCCTGCTCGTCTCGTCGAGAGGTTTCCGGAGAGATGTTTGTTGCGATTTTTCGAGCTCTGAGACAAAATTCCCTCTTAAGCGGGCACGGTCGGCCACAGCAAGCCCTGCATCGGGATACGGGGTCCGGTCGGCGAGACGTGACTAAGAAAGCCCGTGGCTGAAAGTGCCGTCCCCATCGGGCAGAAAAGTAGAACAAAAGAATTGAAGGAGGAGAACATTTCGGGTGCGATCATACCAGCACTAATGCACCGGATCCCATCAGAACTCCGCAGTTAAGCGTGCTTGGGCGAGAGTAGTACTAGGATGGGTGACCCCCTGGGAAGTCCTCGTGTTGCACCCCTTTTTGGTTTTTTTTTTTCTACGAAATCTCTTTCCCAACTCCCTTCCTTCTTCTCTTTACTCACCGCCAATCCTGCTCGTCTCGTCGAGAGGTTTCCGGAGAGATGTTTGTTGCGATTTTTCGAGCTCTGAGACAAAATTCCCTCTTAAGCGGGCACGGTCGGCCACAGCAAGCCCTGCATCGGGATACGGGGTCCGGTCGGCGAGACGTGACTAAGAAAGCCCGTGGCTGAAAGTGCCGTCCCCATCGGGCAGAAAAGTCGAACAAAACAATTGAAGGAGGAGAACATTTCGGGTGCGATCATACCAGCACTAATGCTCCGAATCCCATCAGAACTTCGCTGTTACACGTGCTTGGGCGAGAGTAGTACTAGGATGGGTGACCCCCTGGGAAGTCCTCGTGTTGCACCCGTTATTTTATTTTTTTTTTTTACGAAATCTCTTTACCAACTCCCTTCCTTCTTTTCTTTGCTCGCCACCAATCCTGCTCGTCTGGTACAGAGGTTTCCGGGGAGATGTTTGCTGCGATATCTCGAGCTCTGAGACAAAATTCCGTCTTAAGCGGGCACGGTCGGCCACAGCAAACCCTGCATCGGGATACGGGGTCCGGTCGGCGAGACGTGACTAAGAAAGCCCGTGGCTGAAAGTGCTGTCCCCATCGGGCAGAAAAGTAGAACAAAAGAATTGAAGGAGGAGAATATTTTGGGTGCGATCATACCAGCACTAATGCACCGGATCTCATTAGAACTCCGCAGTGAAGCGTGCTTGGGCGAGAGTAGTACTAGGATGGGTGACCCCCTGGGAAGTCCTCGTGTTGCACCCCTTTTGGTTTTTTTTTTTACTTTTTCCCAACTCCCTTCCTTCTTTCTTTGGTTCTTTTTTTTTTTGTTGCGAAATCTCTTAAGCGGGCACGGTCGGCCACAGCAAGCCCTCATCTGGGGTCCGGTCGGCGATTAAGAAAGCCCGTCCTTCTAGAACAAAAAGAATTGAAGGAGGAGAACTCTTTTCTCACCGCCGTGCTTGGGCGAATCTAGGATGGGTGACTGCTCGTCTTTTGGTTTTTTTTTTTCGTCTCTTTCCAAACTCCCTTCCTTCTTCTCTTTGAGAGCTCGTCTCGTCGAGAGATTTCCGGACAGATGTTTGCTGCGATTTTTCGAACGCTGAGAAAAAATTCCCTCTTAAGCGGTTACGGTCGGCCACAGCAAGTCCTGCATCAGGATGCGGGGTCCGGTCGGCGGGGCGTGACTAAGAAAGCCCGTGACTAATGCACCGGATCCCATCAGAACTCCGCAGGTGTGAAGCGGACCAGGGGAGCGCCAGAAGAGTAGTACTAGGATGGGTGACCCCCTCGAAAGTCCTCGTGTTGAACCCCTTTTTTGTTTTTTTTTACGAAATCTCTTTCACAACTATCTTCCATCATCTCTTTCCTCGCCGCCAATCCTGCTCGTCTCGTCGAGAGGTTTCCGGAGAGATGTTTGCTGCGATTTTTCGAGCTCTGAGACAAAATTCCCTCTTAAGCGGGCACGGTCGGCCACAGCAAGCCCTGCATCGGGATACGGGGTCCGGTCGGCGAGACGTGACTAAGAAAGCCCGTGGCTGAAAGTGCCGTCCCCATCGGGCAGAAAAGTAGAACAAAAGAATTGAAGGAGGAGAACATTTCGGGTGCGATCATACCAGCACTAATGCACCGGATCCCATCAGAACTCCGCAGTTAAGCGTGCTTGGGCGGCGAGAGTAGTACTAGGATGGGTGACCCCCTGGGAAGTCCTCGTGTTGCACCCCTTTTTGGTTTTTCTTTTTTTACGAAATCTCTTTCTCAACTCCCTTCCTTCTTCTCTTTGCTCGCCGCCAATCCTGCTCGTCTCGTCGAGAGGTTTCCGGAGAGATGTTTGTTGCGATTTTTCGAGCTCTGAGACAAAAATTCGCTCTTAAGCGGGCACGGTCGGCCACAGCAAGCCCTGCATCGGGATACGGGGTCCGGTCGGCGAGACGTGACTAAGAAAGCCCGTGGCTGAAAGTGCCGTCCCCATCGGGCAGAAAAGTAGAACAAAAGAATTGAAGGAGGAGAACATTTCGGGTGCGATCATACCAGCACTAATGCACCGGATCCCATCAGAACTCCGCAGTTAAGCGTGCTTGGGCGAGAGTAGTACTAGGATGGGTGACCCCCTGGGAAGTCCTCGTGTTGCACTCCTTTTTGATTTTTTTTTTTCTACAAAATCTCTTTCCCAACTCCCTTCCTTCTTCTCTTTACTCGCCGCCAATCCTGCTCGTCTCGTCGAGAGGTTTCCGGAGAGATGTTTGTTGCGATTTTTCGAGCTCTGAGACAAAATTCCCTCTTAAGCGGGCACGGTCGGCCACAGCAAGCCCTGCATCGGGATACGGGGTCCGGTCGGCGAGACGTGACTAAGAAAGCCCGTGGCTGAAAGTGCCGTCCCCATCGGGCAGAAAAGTAGAACAAAAGAATTGAAGGAGGAGAACATTTCGGGTGCGATCATACCAGCACTAATGCACCGGATCCCATCAGAACTCCGCAGTTAAGCGTGCTTGGGCGAGAGTTAACAACAATACCCGGAACACTCACGAAGAGACGAGCGAGATTGGCGGGAGGGTAGGAAAGAGAGGAAGGAAGGGAGTTGAGGAAAGAGATTTCGTTAAAAAAAAAAAAAAAAAAAAAAAAAGGGGTGCAACACGAGGACTCCCGGTGGGGTCACCCATCCTCAGTACTACTCTCGCCCAAGCACGCTTAACTTTGCGGGTTCTGATGGGATCCGGTTTTGCCATTAGTGCTGGTAGATCGCACCCGAAATGTTCTCCTCTTCAATTCTTTTGTTACTACTTTTCTGCCGATGGGGAACGGCACTTTCAGCCACCGGGCTTTCTTAGTCACGTCTAGTTCCGACGGACCCGTTACCCGATGCAGGGCCTTGCTGTGAGCAACCGACCGTGCCGCTTAAGAGGGAATTGTCTCAGGACTCGAAAAAGCAAACCACGTGGATGCTGTTATTGAAGAAGTTAATCGTTTGCTTGAGGCAAAAGCAATACGTGAGGGTATTATCCTGAGTGGCTTTCCAACACCGTGGTCGTAAAGAAGAAGAATGGGAAGTGCGTGTCTGTGTGGATTTCACAGACTTGAACAAGGCCTGCCCTAAGGATAGTTTCCCCTCCCAAGATAAACCAGTTGGTTGACGCAACAGCTGGCTACGAGCGAATGAGCTTTCTGATGCGTATCGAGGATACCATCAAATTGCTATGTTTGAGCCCGATCAGGAGAAGACATCTTTCATCACCCCACGGGGCTATACTGCTATAATGTCATGCCGTTTTGGGCTGAGGAACGCAGGAGCAACTTACCAGAGGCTTGCGACTATCATGTTTAAGGAACTGCTCGGGAAACCAGGAGGTTTACATAGACGATATGGTGGTAAAAAGCGAGACAAACAGAGGGACTTACAGACTTGAGAGAAGTCTTTGAGATTTTGAGAAAGTACAAGTTGAACTCAACGCCTCGAAATGTGCGTTTGGGGTGGTTCTGGGAAGTTCCTAGGCACTTGGTTCACCATAAGGGGGAATTGAGGCTAACCCAGATCAGATTGCAGCCTTGCAAAGGCTACAAAGCCCCAAAAACACGAAGGAGGTTCAAAGGTTAACTGGGATGGCTGCAGCACTTAATAATTTATCAGCAGATCAAGTGATAAGTGTAGGCCCTTTTTCCAGTTATTGAAGAAAAAGGAAGGGTTTGAATGGGGAGCAGAATGTGAGCAAGCTTTTCAGGACCTGAAGAAATATCTGGCGAACCTCCTCTTCTCGACCCACAGCCAGGTGAGACCTTAATTTGTACTTATCTGTTTGAGCATGCTGTAAGTGCAGTTCTTTTAAGGGATTTGGAATCGAACAAATCCCAATATATTATGTGAGCAAGACATTGCTAGACGCAGAAACGAGATATCTGCCTTTAGAGAAACTTGTCTTGCGCTTAGGACGCAACAAGAAAACTGCCACACTATTTCCAAAGCCATAGGATGTGGTACACCGAGTTCACTAAAATCCCTGCTACGAAAGGCGGATTTTTCAGGAAGAATCTCGACATGGTCCGTCGAGTTAAGTCAGTATGATATTGATTATCAGCCACGCACGGCAATTAAAGGCCAAGTATTGGCAGATTTTGTGGCGGAGTTTTCTCCTGCGGTTGCACCTTTGCCTCCTACGAGAAAGGAGCAAGTATCCAACCCAGCACCCATGAAGAATCAGCTGTCAGCCGAACAGGACCCCACGGAATGGAAATTATTCGTTGACGGATCAGCATGTAATACTGGTTCAGGAATTGGGGTGGTAATATTTCCCCCAGCAGGTGTAATGATCGAGCTGTCTGTTCGGCTAGGATTCAACGCGTCAAATAACGTGGCAGAATATGAAGCACTCCTAGCTGGATTGAGAAGTGCAAAAGTTCTCAAGGCCAAAAGAGTGAGGGTGCATTGTGATTCACAGCTTGTGGTAAATCAGCTGTCCGGTGAATATCAGACCCGGAATGAGAAAATGGCGGCATACGTGGAAGCCGTCAAAGATTTATTAGATACCTTTGAGAGGGTCCACATTGAACAGATAAGTTCTGGACAGAATGCACATGCCGATTCACTGGCATGGCTGGCTGCAGCAGTCTCGACCGAACTCAAGCGAAGAGTTGCAGTTGAGTATCTCTCAGAACCGAGCATTGGGAAAAGTGTGGAGTTAATTTTGGACGTAAACCAAAGTCCAAGTTGGATGGACCCAATCATGGAATTTTTACGGGATGAAACACTCCCCACTGATAAAAAGGAGGCTCATAAGATTAAAACCAAATCTGCAAGGTTTTGGCTGTCCCCGGAAGGAAAGCTCTACAGAAAGTCCTTCACAGGCCCGTACTTGCTGTGCGTACACCCCGAAATGGTGCAGAAATTTCTTCACGAAATACATGAGGGAACTTGTGGAAGTCATGCTGGGGGCAGATCCATTGCCCACCGAGCAATTACTCAAGGCTACTGGTGGCCACATATGCAGGAGGATGCAAAGATGTTTGTGAAAATTTGTGAGAAATGTCAGAAATTCTCACCAATGATTCGAACACCGGCCGAAGACCTGGTACCTTTGACGAGCCCCTGGCCATTTGCCCAGTGGGGAATGGACATCGTGGGTCCCCTCCACAAAGCAACTGGGAACCGAAAATTCTTGTTAGTTGCAACAGACTACTTTACTAAATGGATTGAGGCAGAACCATTGGCCAAAATCACCGAGTCTATGGTAGAGAAGTTCGTGTGGAAGAGTATCATTACTCGATTTGGGGTTCCCTATTCCTTGATCACAGATAATGGGTCCCAATTTCAGAAGAAATTTAAGGCTTTTTGTGCCCAGTATGGGATTCGGAATTACTATTCGACTCCGGCCTACCCACAGAGCAATGGGCAAGCAGAAGCATCTAACAAAACCATTCTTGACGGGATCAAGAAGAGGTTGGATAAGGCCAAGGGAAAATGGCCCGATGAGTTGCCTCTTGTACTATGGGCATACAGGACAACTCCTAGGAGGTCTACGGGAGAGACCCCCTACTCGTTGGCATATGGCACAGAGGCAGTCATACCTTTGGAAGTGGGACTTCCAACCAACAAGACAGTGTTGGTTGAAAGTGGGGGCAACGACAGAGCCCTTGAAATTGAGCTTGATCTCGCCGAGGAGAGGAGAGAAAGGGCCTTAGTCCATTTGGCCTCTTATCAAGAACAATTAATGAAGAGCTATAATAGGCATGTTCACCCTCGAGAATTTAGTGTTGGGGACCTTGTACTACGAAAGGTGCTCGGCAACACCAAAGTGGCCAACGAAGGCAAGCTAGGAGCCAACTGGGAAGGCCCATATCGAGTAACAGAGATTGTGGGCATTGGGGCCTACAGATTGGTTGATCTGGACGGCATCCCAATTCCGAGGCCATGGAATGTTCATAATCTGAGGAAATTCTTTGTTTAGAAGAATTTAATTTAATTTTAGATTGCACTACGTGATTGTGTGGGAATTACGAATAAAATTCCCTTGTTTTCTTTTTACGAATTACTCTGTTTTAGTTGCAAGGGGTACGAATAACGCCCCCTTGAGATCAGTCTATGAATAAAGACATTCTTTTCCTCACAGTATATTCAACTTTTTGAAATATTTGGTTTTTTAGATGTGAAATATGAATACTGATTTTCTTTTCCTTATTCATATTGGGGAGCAAGGGATTGGTACGAACGCCATATACGAATATATCTATGCTTGATAGCTTAAGAATTGCGCACGAGCAAACGCTAAAGTATGAGAAACTTACCCCAAGTATGAAAACACTTGGAATGCATATAGAACACACATGACTGTTCGGTTACGGATACAATCATTTGAGTACATGATTGTGCTAAACAGTATGAGATACTTTAAGTTCGAGAAGCTTATAGCTGGGTACGAGATACCTTAAGTACGAATATACTTAGTAACATCTGAGGCTTGCATATGTGAACATGCAAGAAATCAAGTACGAAAGGCTTGGTTCCGTTATGACGAAATATGTCAAAACAATAGATAAACAAATCTAAGTTCGAACATACTTAAGCAAAATCCAAGTACGAAACACTTGCATAAAGCTACAAACAAAAACAGATTACGATATTTAAAGCACGGGGTGTTTTAAAACAGAAGTGCAAAATAACCACGAAAGGGTTAAGCCACCGAGAAGATCAACGAGAGAGTCAAATATCTGTGCAAAACAAAAACCAAAAGAGTGTACTGTTGCCTCGCAGGGCAAAAAAGTGCCAACGGTCACGCAGGACCAGCAATACGTTCGGAGAAGTTGAGTAGGAATGAGATTACCTGCTAGCCTCTTCAATCCAAGTTCTGGATCTCTGGAAGAATGTCATCTGCAGCTTCTATACTAGCACAGGCGGCGGCATTCTCCTCCGTGACAGTGGCTTCATTGGTCACATCTTGAACTGTTGTAGGTTGAACCACGTTATCTTGAGATTCCATCTGAATCTCCTCTTCAACCTCGGCAAAATCATCTATCTCTTGATCTATGTTGTCAGCAGAAGGCCCACCAGCTTCCCGAGCAGCTATCACTTGACGACTCGGTAATTCATTATCTTCCCAGAAGGGAGAGTCTTCAGCGACGCCAATCTTCGTTAAGCACGTCTCCCAGCAGCTAACCCAGATCTGGTCCTGAATGGCCGGCATCTGTCCCACGTAATTGGCCGTTGTAGTGTCAAACCCTTCCTTATAACCTTCGTCATATGCAGCCTTTTTGACATTATCAATCTCTGCCAAAGACTGACGGAGGTTATCCTCAGCTGTTTCGAGCTTGCCTTTTGTTTCTACAACCTCTGCTTTGGCTTTGTCTCTCTCTCTCTCCAGCCTCGAGACTGTTCGGAGGAGTCTCGTATTGTCATTGAGTAGCCTCACCCTCTCTGCGTCCGCTTCTTGGAATTTTTGGCTCAAAGCCATCAGTTTTTGAATAAACTGCACAATTTCAAAGTACGAGTTAAATCAATTTTTTAAAGACGACTATAATCAAGGCCAAGGAAAAGGAACTCTGTACGTTCACCTTGATTCCACTGACGAGACCAGTGGACACCAGTCGGTCAGCAGAGGATGAAGACTCTTTTTGCATGTCTACGGGAAGTGATAGTCCCTGTGCCAGTGCCAGTGCAGTTTCCGCCGAGCTAGCACTATCCCTAATATTCACTGGCCGGTCCCCCCTCATGAGCTGAGGGGCCCAGACAGCTGGAGCGACTTGGATGTTCGGCAATGG